GAATGAAAAAGCGCACTTAGGCGCACTTCCAGTTTTTATAATTTGTATAAATAAATAGGGAAGACAATTGCGATTTTTTTCGTACTAGGTACGACAATTTTGGACGCGAAAATTTGGCGGGATCACGAAAATTTAACGGAGCGTAATTAAACGTGTGCGACTAGCGACGTGCAGACCGCGACTGATTTTAAATACTTAAAAAAAAAAAATGTATTTGAGTATTTACTCAAATACTTTTTAAAAGTATTTTTTACAGGTCTGTTTGTTTGCCAATTAATTTCTGTATGTTGTACTGATAATACCACAGATTTTTATAAAATCTATGATAATATCTAGTTATAAATATCATATTAATAATAATATTGCGACAAATATATTATAGTAAAAATACAATAAAAAATGTCTTTCCGTGCATTTTTTCTTCTATTTATTATGAATTTTGTCCATAGACAATGTACTAACGCCCTTGATCAAATTTTTCACGATTAATAATAAAATAGTAGGTATTCATGTGGTTATCTCAATATATTCAAATCATCGACAGTAATTMAACGATTTAGTTGATTCACACACTTTCACTGTCTCCTGTCAGACGTCAGTGGATTGCATCCTTAAGCAGATTTATGACGTGCGGTAAATATTAAATTTTTATTTTATTTTCAAGGTATGTTAGTAAACAACAACAAATAACAATGAATTATTATGTGTTCTATGTAGTACTGTTTATCAAGAATGTTATCATTATAATGTAATCAATTAAAATACAGTCCAATGCACTTATCATGTTTAACACTAACCTACAATTTAGAAAATGAAAATTATTATTCAGTCATGTCATGTCTAGTCGGTTTTTTTTCGACGAGACGGTTATGTTCTTTTTCGTTTTAAAAAATGTGTTTAGTAAAAGAACAAACCTACATCATTTTTTTGCATCCACTTTATTTCCAAACATTTAATGGTCAATTCGAGCAGGATATGAACTCTAGATTCGTACGCGTTACATTCGCGTATCTGACGGTCACATTCTAAGTGTCGTGCGCGTTACATTCGCCCGTACACGTCGGTATCGTACGCGTTATATTCGCGTTTCTGTCTGTGTCGTGCGTTTTTACAATCGGCTTTCCGTCTGTTTTGTATTGACATAATTGATTCAAGATGGAGGAGAAGTTGAAAATTCTACGAAAAACTTTCTCAAACAAGGAAAGGCTGATAAGGAAAAAGTTACACACGGTCAACACTTTGACAATGGAGGTTCTGGCGAGTCATGAAATAAAAGTGCATTTAGAACTTGCAGAAAGTGCATTTACAATGTATGCAAATGCACATGATGAGCTGTCCTTGTTGGTCGAGGACTCTGAGGTTGATTTTATGATTGACGCCTTGGAAGAGGTATCTAGTACATTCATTAAAATCAAGGGGATTTTGCAAAGTACATTAAACTTAAGGCTAACTACACACGAACCTCAAAACGAAAATACGCTGAGCGAACAAGGCAACAATCCATCAGGTTACCCCCCATGAGTCTGACTTCATTTACAGGAATATTGGAAGACTGGTATACTTTCCATGACCAATTTTCCTCTGTTATTCACAATAATAGATACATTGACAACACCAGAAAAATGCACTATTTAAAATCATGTTTATCAGGAGAAATAATTATAAGAATATAATTGCCTCATTATCATCGACTGGTAGCAATTATCTGGAGGCTTGGTCTTTAGTGACAAACCGTTATGATAATGGACGTCTTATTCTACAAGTACACTTACAGCATTTGTTCAATCAGCCACACATTCAAACTGAAGCTGTTAGTTCTTTGAAGGCGTTGGTTGATACAACAAATCTTAATCTAAAACATCTTAGAGCATTAAAAGTATTAAAACAACCCATTGAGTCGTGGGGCACAATATTTACCTTATATCATCCCGTTTACCAAATGAATTTAGAAAAGCATGGGAAATTGAATCATCTACCTATGAGTATCCATCTTGGTCACAAATGTGTAAATTTATGGAGAAAAGAATACATGTGTTAGATTTATTACAATCAACCAGTACACCCAAATCTAAGTTTACCAACAAATGCAACAGTCGAGCAATAACTCATGCTGTGACTGCAGCACAAGGTAATAGGCAGCTGTGCCATATTTGTTCACAGCATCATATAATTTATCAGTGTAATTTATTTATGAAGTCAACAGCGAGTGAGCGACATGCATTAGCTAAGAAGGCCAAATTGTGTATAAATTGTCTACKGGCTTCACATTCTTCCAGTCAATGCTCATCTGATAAAACATGTAAAGAATGTGGTGGTAAACACCATACACTTCTACACTTTGGTGACTCTAAGGGCTATAAAATTACTTCTGAAGTGCCCACGTTGACTATCAATACACAACCATCAACATCTAAAGGGATAGACACTGTGGCTGTCAATCAGGATGCCTTAAGAGAAAAGTCAACTGTCATATTATCAACAGCATTGGTGCGCGTACATGGACCTAGTGGATGGTCAGAACTATGCCGTGCATTAATAGACACTGCTTCAGAATTACATTTTATTACTAAAGCCTTAGCAAGTCGGTTAGGTTTGAAAACATTGCATCAGCCAATGATAATTGATGGTGTATCAAATGCTTCTACAACCACATCTCAAGTTTCAACGTTCAATATTTCTCCTAGGACGAATGGTAAACAAATGACATTAACTGCCTTAGTGTCTCCTAAGATAACTGTTGATCTACCCACTGTAGCCGTGGATGTTTCACAGTGGACTCATTTGGAACGGGTTGAGTTAGCAAATCCAACATTCCATGTGCCTAACAAAATCGACTCACTCATAGGTGCTGAATACAGTCTGGATATAATGTTAGATGGTAAAATACAAGGACCCAAAGGTACGCCGTCGTTACACAACCCTATCTTTGGGTGGATAGTATGTGGAAACAATCTTAGACATTGTGGAATTGTGGAACACTATCAATGTTTAAGTCAGTCACCTGTTGTACCACTACAGTTGAATCATTTGTGAACCGATTTTGGGAACTGGAAGAGGTACCACGCCTTACATGTATGTCCAAAGAAGACCAACAGCGTGAAAAGCATTTTGTTGAGACGTTTACTCGAGACAGCTCTGGTCGTTATACTGTAAGACTTCCTTTTGTTAAAGAACCACCGCTAGTGAACAATTCTTATCAGCTCGCTGTTCAACGCTTGAAGAAAGTCGAGGTGTCATGTCGTGTTCGATGGATCGTGCACGATGGACACAGGAAACTCATTGAATGAACTACTTCATGAAGGACAAAAATTACAGAAAGAAGTAATTGACATATTAATCCGTTTCCGTCTACCTCGCTATGTTATTACCGCAGATATTCGACAGATGTTCCGACAAATCTTAGTACACCCCACTGATCGTGTCTACCAAGGTATTGTCTGRCGTCCAAATGAATCTAGTCCAATAAGAAGTTATACCTTAAATACGGTGACCTATGGGCTCATCACATCACCATACCATGCTTTACGAGTCATGAAGCAATTGGCTTACGACGAGYAAGGGACCTATCCTGAGGCATCTGCGGTGCTACAGCGAGATTTCTATGTAGATGAAGTAATGACCGGACGAGATGACATTACTGCCACAATCAAGCTACACCAGGAGYTGTTGCACTTGCTCGCCCGAGGTGGGTTTGAATTACGTAAGTGGGCCACCAACTGCGAGGCAGTTTTAACGCACATTCCTACAGCACTAAGAGCCACTCAACTAACGCTGACCGACCACATGGATCCGTCAATCAAAATATTGGGTATATGTTGGAATGCTCAACGAGATACGTTCTCATTTCATGTTGAAACTTCCAAGGTTGGTGAAGCTTTCACTAAACGTTAATTACTTTAGGRAATTGCAAGGATTTTTGATCCGTGTGGATGGTTAAGCCCACTTGTGATCGTGGCGAAGATCATTATGCAACACCTGTGGAAGAACAAGTTGGATTGGGACGATCCACTGCCTGACACGCTGAGCAAATGGTGGTCGGATCATCGATCTTCTTACAGTGCTCTTCGCTCCTTTGAATTACCACGGCATTGCAATAACGAACACACTCAGGTAACTACATATAGTCTGCACGGTTACAGTGACAGTTCGGAACAAACTTATGCTGCTGCTCTTTGTGTACAAATTTTACTAGTACACATCATAAACTACATGAGGTGTATAAACTGTTGTGCTCTCAACAATTGAACTCAGCCCTGAACACTTTCTGTTTGCCCAGAGAGRTAGACTGGCACTTTATCCCACCAGCTTCGCCCTATTTTGGTGGTATTTGGGAAGCTAATATCAAATCGTGTAAACGCATACTCCAACGCATAATTCTTAATAGTGTCTTTATATATGAAGAATTACACACGGTCTTTTGTCAAGTCGAAGCGCAACTTAACTCTCGACCACTTTGCCCTGCCAGTATGGAAGCCACTGACTACTCAGCACTGACTCCAGGGCATTTCTTGTTAGGTAAAGCTTCTATGTCACTACCTGAAGTCGACATTCTTGAGCTAACACCTACCAATCGACTCACCAGGTGGAATAGAATACAGAAACTACAGCAGTCCTTTTGGAAACAATGGTCTCAAGATTATCTGGCTACACTACAACAACGCTCTAAATGGACAGCCTCCCAGCCTAACTTTCAAGTCAACGACCTCGTCCTCATCAAGAAAGAAAATATGGCTCCCACTCATTGACCCCTAGCCAGAATCCTCCAGGTGCATCCCAATCCTGCAGACCACCTCGTGCGAGTTGTCACCCTTAAGACACAGGATTCGGTGCTAAAGCGTCCTATTAATAAACTTATAAAACTGCCTATCGAACAATAGTTTAAACTGGTTAACACATTAATCAATTATTCCATTATTTGTTTTGTTATTACTTAAATAATTTTGTGTCACCTTATGTGAATTTATATTGTTATGTTACTATAGTTTGTACTTTGTTGAAATCTAYTTGTACCTTACCYCATTAGGCATTTTTTACTAATGTTAATGTTTGAATTGTTTATTTATTTAACTTCCTTTTGAGAATACCTCTTAAGGGGACCGGTATGTTTATCAAGAATGTTATCATTATAATGTAATCAATTAAAATACAGTCCGCTGCATTTATCATGTTTAACACTAACCTACAATTTAGAAAATGAAAATTATTATTCAGTCATGTCATGTCTATTCGGTTTTTTTTCGACGAGACGGTTATGTTCTGTTTCGTTTWAAAAAAATGTGTTTTAATAAAAGAACAAACCTACATCATTTTTTTGCATCCACTTTATTTCCCAACAAGTACTATACGTATTCCGACATGTTTATTTTTTGTTTCATTTTTCAGATAGATGATRTGCTCCCCAAATTCTAATTCTTAATCCTATGTAAATTGTAAATATATACACCATCTAGCTTGACGCTTCTAATAGTGATAGTCATTCGAATACTTTTTTTGTATTTGAATACTATTTTAAAGTATTCAAATACGTATGCTCGCATCATTAAGTTTAATAGTAGTAAGTTAACACTCGTATATTTATATTTATTATTTTTATGTTGCATGCAATACATACCTATTACTATTTATAATTATTATTTAATGATAAGATTAAGAGAACTTTAAACCTACATGTGTTGTCTCCGACTCTCCGTCTTACAAGTGCGTACTGTAAAAAGTAAAGGTAACATTATTATCGAGGGCTTTTTATAGGATTTTTATTATATTTTAATTTTAAAATGAGTTATTAGTATTTTAAGATATATAAATAATTTACAATTTTAAGATACGCAGAACTCGCTTTAAAATAATACTATAGTAAAAAGCTCACGAGAAGCCCTCGATAATGATGCTACCTTTAATTTTTATAAGAGGTCAATAAATTCACTCCAAATTTTAAACTAACAAAGCTGTTCTTCTGAGCGTAAAAATTGCAATRTTATGCACTTATAAAGACAGAGACAACACATGCGGGTTAGACGTCCTCTTAAATTGATTTATTTTTATAATATTATAATATACAATGGCCGATGATACACCGTACATTGAGGATCTAGATGYAAAGTACCTATACTTATACCTACTAAAATACTAAATTATCAAGCAAGCAGGCCATTAATAAAGTCAACATTAAATTAATTTAAAAGTTTTTTCAACTGTGTCTTAACTTTATATATTATTAAAAACRTCGCATATATTATACATAGCTGCAGTTATCATGATAGGTAGTCGTTAGTTGTATCTCATGTTGTATGTAATTCTAGTTTCTACAAAAAACAACTCTTAACTATTATTTAATATTTATTGTTACTTCAAATAATTATTTACCATTTAAATTCTATCAACCTCGGTAAATGTCAAGATTAAGTAAATATCGTCATCTTAATTCTTAATGGTCCAGCCGATGAAAATAATATCTAAAGAAATTTTGCATTTGAACCAGTGGCGGATTTTAGGGGAGCAACGTGGCGATTACCTTCTCCTAGAGCTTTTATTTTTAGTTGAATTATAGCGCCGTAAGCTAAAATGAATATGAAATTCATAAGTCATAACTATAACTTCAAACTTATAAATAAATTATACAAAAAAAATGTAGGTACCTGGAGTGTCGTATATAGAAATATTTTTTGGGGTGGGCTATAATATTAAGCAAAATCAACTATAGTCTATAGTGTGTGATCTATCATCTAAAGTTCTAAAAGCTAATATATTTAACAGTTTGTCTGTTCTACTCGCTTGTCAATCGTCAACGTGATTGTATGGTAGTGGAAGCAATGCTATCAACGTAAAAATAAATWCATAACTAATAACTGTAATTTCGAGGGGGGCTGAAGCCAACTAGTCCCCCTCAGTAGCGGTGCGTGAATAAAATTTACGGGGAGACTTAACTTTTGTTTAACTATTAGCTACCTATTTATATACATTTTTACTTAAAATATTAGTTTTACACAGTTGTACACGTCTACAAATTTATCATTATTGCATCTGCATGACATGTCCAGCGTAACAGCGTCCAGGCTCTGTCGCAGTGTCGTTTGGCATGACTGGTAAATTTCAACTTGAATAATGACACAGTTTTACAATGTAAAAGTTTAATACTTAATGCAATGTATCACGTATGTTTTTTAATGTATGGTATATTTAATAAACATTATATAATGTAAAAACGATTCTTTTATTAACTTATTAAAAAATGTAGGTAACCAAAAATATATAATAAGTACCTATTACTTAATATACTTACTTTCAGGGTTAGGCAAGATACTAAAAAAGCAGTATCGAGATACTAGATACAAGATACATTGCTTTGGAGTATCGCGATACAAGATACTAGATGCTTGGCTATAGAGTATCGCGGTACTAGATACTCGATACTTGGCTTTAGAGTATCGCAATTCGCGATATTAATATATAGATACTAGATATACTATATAATATCTAGATACTCGATACATTTTAATAAAATTATCAGTGTTTTAAAAAAAAATATATATTTATTGTTATGGGGATGACCACTTCGTTAAATATGGCAAATAAAATAATAAAAATTGACACTTATTCAGTAATAATAAAATAAATCAATTTTGTCGTGTGTGAGAGTCACGAAATCGCCTGCAGGCTAATACAGAACTAAAACGAGTTAATGTGGTTTCATCAATCTGAAATATATTATAAATATTATARTTTATAGTAAATATATTAGTTTACATACTAAAATAAAAATAAAAATATACTCAATATGTGCTGTGACTCCCATAAATGATTTATGTTTTGTTGACCAAATATTAGCTGTTGTACATAAACTAGGTCTAGGATCAGATTCAAAAAGATTTTTTAATTTTTCACAAATAAATGTATAATTTTCTAGAATGCGACGGCTTAATGTTCTTCTTGAAAATATTTTTAAAGTACCATCAATATCTATTAAGTCATTAGAAAAAAACAAAAAGTTATGCGTTATAGGATTAATTATAGTATTATATTTATATAGGTACTAT